ACCTCTGTCCATGTACCATTACACATCTCTTATTTCACTGGTAGTACTTGTACCAGTTTTGGGGGGAATTCTTCGTGGGATCACCCTAAAATACTGTGTGCAAGTCAGTGCTCATGAAATCTTTATTCTATATTGATCTAGATACAGCTCTTTTTGTGTGTGTGTGTGTGGAAGATCAGCCCTGTGCTAACATCTGCCAATCCTCCTCTTTTTTTTTTTTTGCTGAGGAAGACTGGCCCTGGGCTAACATCGTGCCCATCTTCCTCCACTTAATGTGGGACGCCGGCACAGCATGGCTTGCCAAGTGGTGCGTCGGTGCGCGCCTGGGGTCCGAACCGGCGAACCCTGGGCCGCCGCAGCGGAGTGCGCGCACTTAACCGCTTGCACCACCGGGCGGGTCCCCTAGATACACCTCTTATGGATATCACTTTCTCAACACCCAGCTAAAGGGCCATGAACAGTGCGCTTAACTTCCGATACAGCACTTCCACTTCTAGGAACTGATCTTCAGGAAATAATTAAGGATGTGCTCCAATAATTAGCTACACAGACGTTCTTCTCAGCATTGCTAACTATAGTGAAAACTTGGAAATAACTGAATGTAACCAGGGAACTAGGTAAGTAACTACTGGTACAGTTATGTGATAAAATGCTATTTTGCCCAAGGAAATGATGTTTTAAAAGAATACTGAATGCTATGAAAAGATGTTCACAAAATATTAAGTGAAAAAAAAAGGTAGGTTTAGGGCTGGCCGGATGGCGTAGTGGTTAAGTTTGTGTGCTCCACTTCGGTGGCTTGGGGTTTGCAGGTTTGGATCCCAGGCACAGATCGACGCACCACACTTCAAGCCATGCTGTGGCAGCATCCAATATACAAAGTACAGGAAGATGGGCACAGGAGTTAGCTCAGAGCTAATCTTCCTCAGCAAAAAGAGGAGGATTGGCAATGGATGTTAGCTCAGGGCTGATCTTCCTCACACACACACACACACACACACACACACACAAAAGCAGGTTTCAAAGCAGTGTGCAGAAATATAAAAATATATATTGAAACATTTTATATTTACATATAGATGCACGTGTGTGTAAGATAATGGTCTAGGAAATACACAGTTGGTTATTAATTTTTTGGATTATGGATAATTTTAATTTTCATCTTTTAGTTTATCTGTTTTTTTCCTAAATTTCTTCCTAGAATGAACAGCTAAATTGTAAAGAAAATTTCCACACCTGTTTCGTAAGCTCTGAAATTTACTCTTCTACATCTTTTTTTTCTTAACCCCCTCTTTCTTCTCAACATCAATTAGTGCAGTGCTAAGCTTAATTCATTAAGTGGGTGCTTAATAAGTGTTAGTCACACAGTATATTTTTATTGAGCACCTACTGTGTGCTGTGCCTTGTGCCAGGCACCGGGGTGGAGTAGACACGGTCTCTGCAGACAGGTGTGGTCTCTGCCTTCCTAAAGTGTAGAGTCTAGTAGGAGATGGACAGACACAAACAATGATTGCATAAGAATTGTTTAATTATAACTATGAGGAGTGCTTCCAGGGTGCTAAAAAAAGATCTTAATAACAGGGGTCCTGCAGGTCAGGAAATGGTTTTCTGAGGAAGTGGCTTTTAGGTTGAAATCACCAAAAATAATGATGCCCGGTGACATTTAAAGCTGCGCTGACCATCGTGGTAGCCACTAGCCACATGTGGCTACTGAGCACTTGAAATGTGGCTAGTCCAACTGAGACGTGCTGAAGGTGTAAAATACACACATTGGATTTTGAAGACTTCGTATGAAAAAAAGTGAGATATCTCCAATATGCTATTTTTTTTTGGAGGAAGATAGGCCCTGAGCTAACGTCTGTTGCCAATCCTCCTCTTTTTTGCTGAGGAAGCTTGGCCTTGTGCTAGCAACATCCGTGCCCATCTTCCTCTACTTTATATGGGATGCCGCCACAGCATGGCTTTGAAAAGCGGTGCGTATGTCCGGGCCCAGGATCCGAACCTTCGAACCCTGGGCCGCAGAAGTGGAGCACTCAAACGTAACTGCTACACCATGGGGGGCCGGCCCCATCTCCAGAATTTTTATATTGATTAAAAGTTGAAACAATAATATTTAGGATATACTGGATTAGATAAAATATATGAAGATTAATTTTACCTTTTTTTTTTTTAACCTTTTTTAATGTGGCTACTAGAAAGTTTTAAATTACATAGGAAGGGTGACTATGGCCTGTTTGCTCTTCTGCCTCCCCTTTTGGACAGTAAACCTCAAGAAGGCAGGCAGCATATCAGTTTTATTCATCACTGTATCTCCAGCCCCGGCACAGCTCCTGGGACAGAACAAGCGCTGTTAAACATCCCATCATTGAGCGAATTAATGAGTGATCTCACTACTTTAGCTTCCATTTCTTCCATCAAACTGTGAACTTTCTGAGGAAAGGGACTATGACTTGCTTTGTTCCAAGTGTCGGGCGCGACGCCTGCTAGTCATTCAGCAAATATATATTGAGCATCTCCTACGTGCCACACATATGCTCAGTATGGATATGTGGTGAGCAGAAATGCACAGGTTCCTGCCCTCACATACTTTAGTCTGATAAGGAGATATTTATTAAATAATAATCCTACCACTAAATGTAAATTGCAGTGGTGAGAAGTGCCTACAACACAGAGGTACACGAAAGGCGCCAGAAGAGAATGAAATAGAGAGACTGCCTAGTTGGGGAGCAGTCTTGGCTCTTAAATTTCAGTATGGGAGGATGTAGCAGCTAGGGAGGTGAGCCACTTGGTTCCACCTTCAGAACAGAGCTTGTTATCCAGTTCCAGGAATGACAGCTTCCAGATGCAGGGCCTCCAGGGGAAGGCCACACTCATCCTGGGCATCCCCAGGCAATGGCTGAAGACCGGCCTGGACACTTCTGCCCAGTGGGGACTCTTCTAAGGAATTTTTGCTCTGGGGCTCCCCTTGGGTTGGCTTGTCTTTGTCAGTTCTGAGTCTCTCCTTGCTCAATCTTGCTTCTTTCCCTTTGTCTTTCACAGGTGTTACTGCCAACACTTTCTGAACATCTGCTTCCTGGAGGACCTGACCTGACACACAGGGTCTTGGGGGCTGGATTTTTGTGGGAAGGGGAGCTCGAAGCCGTGTTTACAGAGGATTTTTCTATAAAGTCGACAAACTACCATTGCCCATTCCAAAGTGTGGGGAGGGGCTCATAGTCATAACTACCTCTGTGACAATTAATTTAGATAATAGCTACATAGTATCTGACACTCAGTAAGTGGCGGCTGTTATTATCACCTGATTTCTGAGTGTGGGAGCGGAGCCCCTCTGGGGTCTGGGATGGCAGTGGGGTGTTTCAGGAAACTGCCCCGCACTGGGTGTAACTTCCCTGTAGTTTTTCCTTTAATGTCTAAGGTGGGGTTCTCTTTGCTCCACGCAGAGTTTTGGAAAATTCTCCCTCTAGGGAAGGCGGACATGTGGAAGATTAAAGGATATGTAACCTCGAAAGAATTGAATCTGGCCCCACAGGCTGGGCTTTCAGTTGCACTGTCATCGGTCCAGAGGGGAACCCCAGGAAAGGTCCTTCAAAGGCTCCTGGCCTCGCCTGGACTGATTTAGTGTTCTTCTGGGAGGTGACCTACTAGGAGACAGACAGGCGGACAAATCTGACTCTCCAGTGGACAGACATGCGATGAGTGAGTGACTGATGGATGGACAGACTGTGAGACGTCAAGACAGGCGGATGGATCTGTCAGCCAGACGGTCAGGCGTGTGACTTCGAGACAGACAGAAAGACTGGCGGGGGGCGGGGGGG